GGGGGACGACAGAGATGACGACCAACGAACAACGGGGATGACGTCTCGAACGGAAAAGCCCCTCACACACGCCGACAGGGTCGGCGGATTATAAGTCTACTTCAGGACGATCAAAATCCCACCCATTAAAAATGGGGTAGACCAAAATCCCGGGCCGTTCACGGATCCCACCATGCTGGGATCGGCTCGAAGTAAGATGGGGCTCATAAGTTGCAGTATTATTGCCGTGTTCGGGTCGTCTTGAGGTCATCTTGAGATCATATCCCGGTCATGTTTGGATCACGCAACCATCGCGTGGTCATTGTGAGGCCACCCTGGGTGCGCTTGGATCCATCTTGTTGCCATCGGGCCATCTCGGCGTCACGCGTTGCTCATGTGTTTCGTCATCTGCGAGTCGGCCTGAGACGGTCCAGAATCCATGGCGGGATCGCGTTGGGGTGGCATCATCCTGGGTCCTCTGGACGTTATCGTCCGTGGCCTGAGGCATTCCTGGAAGCATGTTGTGGCCATGGGACGTCTTGGTATCGCGTGCGTGCGAACGCTGAGCACGCGCGCGCGCGACTTCTCATCTTGCCGACGGGTTTACATACATATTATTCTTCTTGCGAGTTTCCAAGAAACTTTTGCTGGAGCCAAGTAAGTAGTAGTAGTAGTAGTAGTAGTAGTAGTAGTAGTAGTAGTAGTAGTAGTAGTAGTAGTTCAGGTAGTAGTAGTAGTAGGTAGTAGTAGTAGTAAGTAGTTTAGTAGTCGTAGTAGGTAGTATAGTAGTCGTAGTAGTAAGTAGTAGTAGTAGTAGTTAGTAGTAGATAGTAGTAGAGTGGTGGTGGTGGTAGGTGTCGTTAGTAGTGCGTAGTGCGTGGTGACTCGTGGTTAGTGAGTAGTAGTAGTAGTAGTTAGTAGTAGTAGTAGCGTCGTAGGTCTTAGTCGTAGTTCGTAGTCGTAGCGTAGTCGTAGTAGTAGTCGTAGTAGTAGTAGTAGTAGTAGTAGTTAGTAGTAGTAGTAGTAGTAGTAGTCGTGGTAGTAGTAGTAGTAGTAGTAGTAGTAGTAGTAGTAGTAGTAGTAGTAGTTGTAGTAGTAGTAGTAACCCTGGTGGTTGATGTGGTCGCAGCAGGCTTAGCAGTAATAGCGGTAGTAGTGATAGTAGTAGTAGCAGTAATAGTAGCAGTACTAGTAGTAGTAGTAGTAGTAGTAGTAGTAGTAGTAGTCGTAGTAGTAGTAGTGATAGTAGTAGTAGTAGTAGTAGTAGTAGTAGTAGTAGTAGTAGTAGTCGACGTAGTAGTGTGATTATTAGTATTGTTATTATTTTTAGTAGTAGTAGTAGTAGTAGTAGTAGTAGTAGAGTAGTAGAGTCGTAGTAGTAGTAGTAGTAGTAGTAGTCGTAGTAGTAGTAGTAGCCGCAGTAGTAGTGGCAAAAAAATATGTAAAAGTAGTCGTATTAGCAGTAGTAATAGTCGTAGTAGCAGTACTAGTAGTAGTAGTAGTAGTAGTAGTAGTAGTAGTAGTAGTAGTAGTAGTAGTAGTAGTAGTAGTAGTAGTATGAGTAGTAGTAGTAGTAGTAGGAGTGTTGGATGCCGTAGTCGTAGTCGTAGTCGTAATCGTAGGTGTAGTCGTAGTAGTGATAGTCGTAGTAGTGTGGAAGAAGAAGAAGTAGAAGTAATAGAGGTAGTAGTAGTAGTAGTAGTAGTAGTAGTAGTCGTAGGAGTAGTAGAAGCCGTAGTCGTAGTCGTAGTCGTAGTCGTAGGCGTAGTCGTAGTAGTGATAGTAGTAGTAGTAGTGCGGAAGAAGATGCAGAAGCAGTAGTAGTAGTTTTAGTAGAAGTAGCAGTAGTAGAAGTAGTAGTAATAGTAGTAGTAGTAGTAGTAGTAGTAATAGTAGTAGTAGTAGTAGTAGTAACAGCAGTAGTAGTAGTAGTAGTAGTAGTAGTAGTAGTAGTAGTAGTAATAGTAGTAGTAGTAATACTACCATCAGTCAGTACTAGCAGTAGTAGTAGTAGTAGTAGTAGTAGTAGTAGTAGTAGTAGTAGTAGTAGTAGTAGAAGTAGTGGTAGTCGTAGTACTTCTAGTATTAGTAGTAGTTAGTAGTAGTAGTAGTAGTAGTAATAGTAGTAGTAGCTTAGTAGCAGAGTAGTAAGTAGTAGTAGTTAGTAGTAGTAGTAGTAGTTAGTAGTAGTAGTAGTAGTAGTAGTAGTAGTATTGTAGTATTGTAGTTATTGTTAGTATGTAGTAATGTCGTTTAGTAGTAGTAGAAGGAAGGAGGAGAACGTAGTAGTAGTAGTAGTAGTAGTAGTATAGGCTTAGTATTAGTAGTAGTAGTAGTAGTAGTAGTAGTAGCAGTAGTAGTAGTAGTAGTAGGAGTAGTAGTAGTAGTAGTAGTAGTAGTAGTATCAGTAGTCGTAGTGGTAGTAGTAGTAGTAGTAGTAGTAGCAGCAGCAGCAGCAGCAGCAGTAGGTGTACTCCTAGTAGTCGTAGTAGTAGTAGCCGGCAGCGTTGTAATGATTGTAGCAGTCGTAGTAGTAGTAGTAGTAGTAGTAGTAGTAGTAGTAGTAGTAGTAGTAGTAGTAGTAGTGGTAGTAGTGGTAGTAGTAGTAGTAGTAGTAGCAGTAGTATTAGTAGTAGGAGTAGTAGTAGTAGGAGGTATTTCAGTAGTAGTAGTAGTAGTAGTAGTAGTAGTAGTACTAGTAGTAGTAGTAGTAGTAGTAGTAGTAGTAGTAGTAGTAGTAGTAGGAGCACTAGCAGAACAAATCGTAAACATAGTGGTAGTAGCAGAAAAAGAAGACGTAGTAATGGTAGTAGACGTAGTCTTAGTAGTAGTAGTAGTAGTAGTAGTAGTAGTAGTCGTCATCGTCGTCGTCGTCGGTGTACAGGTAGTCGTAGTCGTAGTCGTAGTCGTAGTCGTAGTAGTAGTAGTAGTAGTAGTAGTAGTAGTAGAGTAAACATAGTGGTATAGCAGAAAAGAATGACGTAGTCATGGTAGTAGCGTAGTCTTAGTAGTAGTAGTAGTAGTAGTAGTAGTAGTAGTCGTCATCGTCGTCGTCGTCGGTGTACAGGTAGTCGTAGTCGTAGTCGTAGTCGTAGTCGTAGTAGTAGTAGTAGTAGTAGTAGTAGTAGTAGCAGTAGTAGTAGTAGTAGTAGTAGTAGTAGTAGTAGTAGTAGAATTATTATTAGTAGTAGTAGTAGTAGTAGTAGTAGTAGTAGTAGTAGTCGCCGTAGCACTCGTAGTCGTAGTAGTCGTAGCAGTCGTCGTCGTTGTCATAGTCGTAGCAGTAGTAGTAGTAGCAGTAGTACTAGTAGCAGGAGTAGTAGTACTGGTAGTAGGAGTAGTAGTAGGAGTATTAGAAGTAGTAGTAGTAGTAGTAGTAGTAGTAGTAGTAGTAGCAG